GCGCCCACGCTAATTGCGTATTATTTTATTAAATTAATGCACGAGATATCGCGCTGCCGTATTAAATTAAACTTCTTCAGCAATGGCTCGAGCTTGGTAATTATCGGAGAACACGGAAAAAGAAGCGACACGGCCGGTAATGTACATACACATACATAACAATACTCTTCAATGAATAGATGGAAAATGTGGAAATTCACAATACGGAGAACACATTGTCGCTCGAGCTACTCAAGTCAATACTTTTGTAGCAAGCACTCTTTTTTTTTTGTTGCAGTCGCGATTTTTTTCTAATGATTTTCGCAGCCTGTCTCGAGTTTGTTAACATAAAATCTTTTTACGCAGATATTTTATATGTGAAATCGAACCTAATATCAGATCGCATAATCTGAAACGTAAAGCTCCTCGCCGGCTCTCAAATTTTCACGCACCGGCATGCAGCGGGAAACGCGCGGAATCGAAAATGCAGCGCGACGGTCTCCGATTACGATCGCGTCAGAAATATACCGTTTCACCGTGGCAGACAACTCGATCCTCTTTTTACACCCCCTTTCCCGGTTCTTTTTTCCGAGAGCATCGATTTATACCGAGCCGGCGTCGGCTCGGAAATGTATCAGGCGCTGTAGTTCCGCATCCGCGCGTTGTCATGCCAAGTGCAATGTGCACGCGATGCAGAAACGCGCGGCAGCCGTAACATTGTTCGCCTCGACGCGGACTTCGATACCGCCTGACAAAGGAATTAATCGAATTACATCGACGGGAGAAAGAATATCGGCTTCTGAAATGGGATGCGCGCGCGCGCGCGCGCGTGCAGGTACAGTTTCCAGGTATCGCGATATAAAATACGCAGTTGCACGGAAATGAATTCTAGTCTTCGTTCATCTGCCGTTTCCTGTCGCGTATCAGATACAAATTGCCAGAGAGAATTGTTTATTATATAGGAACAATCGCGAGCTATATTATTTAACGGCGCGCGGTGAATGCACGCGGCGAAAATACCTCGACATCAAAAGTATCAGTGGTTCCCAGTCTTTTTTCTGCGTTTTGTGAAGAAAAATCACCTTCGGCCTGAAGAAATATGCAAAAGAAGCTCGTCGATTTCCTTAATTCTATAATTACTTCTTGGGTTTCTACATTCACACAAACGTGAATGGAAGGAAGAGGGAGAGTGAAAGATAGGACTGAAAAATGAAATACCTTCCCTAGAGTGCGATAGCGACCGAATTGAGAACCAATGTATTACGCGGAAGAACAAAGAACGAAATACAGTTTCTCGGTAAAGGCGAGTTATCTCGCTCGATAAGATTCTTTGGCGAATTTCATTGTAGATTGGTACCGCACGCGTCTGTAAATTCACGCGAAGTTCCATTGTGCTCGCTGGTGCGGTGTTATAAAGGATGAAAGCTGGATCGACGATCACAAACGCACCTCAAGAAGGACGTAGTCTACGACACGTTTTCCCGCTCAACACCAGACGATCCGGCGGCAGATTGCTTCGTTCCAGCTGACGCGTAGGGATGGATTCTAATCGAATGGCTCCTCTTTCACGTATTCAGGATACATTTGCACCTACAGTAACGTATGCCGAATGCGCTTAAAGTGCGGTGAAGTTTGATATTAAAGATATAAGAGAAAGAAAGAAAAATTTACAATATAATTGTATTATAATGTATATAATAATCTATTAATATAATTGATATTTGCATAATTAATTCACGTTAATGAGTAATAGTTTAACATACGCAAAAGTGTAAGATTTCAAAATTTTAACTTATATTCTGCTAGAATGAGATAACAAGTGGTTTTTCTTTTTCGACAATTTCTCATTTTCCAATGGTGAGAATCTATTCAGCACTTCGTTCTCTTTTCTCCCACTCCTTCCTCGACATGTTTAATAAGAAGAAATGCAAGCTGATGCATTTTGATTAGAAACTATTTTCGCGTGCATTTCAAAGCGAGGAAGTCTGTGATGGCAGATGGGAAAACGTGTCGTTGAGCCCTCCGCGAACGGAAGTCTTGATCATTGATCTAGCTTCTTCTTTTATACTTGCTCAGGATAGTGCACGGAAGCGTGCACGATGAAATTCGCCGGGGAATGTTATACCAAGCGTGGTCTTGCTGGAAATTGTGTTTCGCTGTTTGTTCTTCCGTCCGTTCGGGAGCTGACATTAATTTAACCTCGTACGAGGTGTGTCTAAAAAGTTCCGCCAACGCGAACGCGCAACAAAGACAGATGACGTTAGCAGAACTGAATTCTTACCTCACTGTAACATTTCACGGCGCGTGGTGTACTCGGAGAAAGAAATAACACAAATGTCAAATAAAAATGCTCCTTTGTACTGCTGACGAATATCGCTTTAGAAATAAACACCCTTAGTTCCGTTATAACTCTATGAATTTTATTTTATTAATTTATGCATTATGAAATAGCAAAAAAAAAATATGGTCGTGTAATTTTCTTTGTAATTTTTCTTTCAAAGTGACAGCAACGTTTTTATTTTATTTAAAATTTTGATATCGCCAAATCTTGGAGTGTTTGCAGCAGAATTCCAAATTTTCAATGTTAATTCTTGCAGTTACATAAATTTAGTTCAAAGTTTTGTGTCTCGTAACCGGAACATTTTGTCAACAAAGGATGCTCATGGAAAGCGAGGGAAAAGTAAGATGGCGAAAATGAGAGTGTGTCTCGTGTGTCACTGAGAACTGGCAATATCTCAGTTCGGCCGCGGAAAACTGAGCAACTATTTTCACACGCGCTACGTCACCTATCGTGTATCAATGGTGGCACAATATGCGCCGACAGGAGCGCGATATCCTTGCTATGCGCCGGGCATTTCATCACATCGAAATTTTTTGCCGAGTAAATTATAGCCTCGATGCTTCGTCGAACACACGGGAATTTAAGGGTTTCGTAGAGAGTGAAAAGTAATTTTCTGCCGAGATATCGAGCCTTCGAGAGACGCTCGAAAGAATATCCGTCGCGTTTGCGCTAAATAACTCTGCGGAACGGCTCACGGCATAAGTGAACCGCGATGCTTCGAACGAAGAGGCATGTCCTCCTGTCAAAGCGAGAGAAGCGGGTAGAAATGAATATTTGAAAAATTACCCGACGTCCTTTCCAAATGCAGACTGAAAGAAAATAACCATGACAAATAGAGTATATATCTTCAAAAATAGCTCCAGTATACTTGTTCAGCTTTTTAACGTTAAAACAATTCGTGAATTATGAATTTCCGAAAAATGTCCGTTTATAAAATTACAATAAATGGATTGATGCGACACGATTGCGAACCGCTTCGCCAGCGGAATTCTGCAGAACAACGCGATTTAGATCGCAGTTTGCACCCGGTAGACCGGTTGTATCGTTTTGCAACAGACCGTATACGCGACGTATATGCGCGTCACGACATTTGGCAATTACCTCGGCGTGTACGAGCACTCGATACGCGTGTATGACGTCGCCGGTTTGCCCGGGCGAATACTCGTGCGGACGACAAGCCATAAACGGTATAAGCGGCAACGAGCGACGCCCTGAAATGTGTCCCGAGACGCGTTTCGACTGTCGAGCACTTAACGCATCGGGGAGCTATCGAACGGGATCGACGCAAACACACCGGCGGCTGATATATACACTTTAATATGCAAGATGAATTCCTACTTTACTGGCGTACACAATTTTATTCGAAAGGCAAATGCTTAATATTCTACCGGCGTTTCTCGCGTCTTGTTTGCATCTCGGACGGTTTATGAAGCTGACGTTAGGCGTCTTGCCTGAAAATGGAAAGCGTCAGAGCGAAAAACGGGAAGAACTATGAAAGGCGAGGACAGCTTGCGTCGTCAAGGTACACCTGGAAGCTTTCTTTTCATTGCCTCTGCAGTACGCCAGAGCCGTTTAGCCGGCACGCCACGGTTCTGTGGGGGTGGCAAATGCACGCGGCGCATATTTCGCAGAAATGCTTCGGCGCTTTCGTGCCGACGCACGAAATGCGCATGTATAACGTGTATTAACGAACGATACCATCGCCGTGTAATATTTTCTGTGGCCTGGGCCTTCTCGTCTCCCCATTATCGCCGTCGGTCTTGCGGGGACTGTTTGCGTCCAATCGCTTCAACAATTGTGATTTGTGCCAACGCCACCGCCGATTGTGACACGCACGTGTCGTTGTCGCACCGACCATCTATTTTATTCGTTATTTTCCCACTCGGATAGCCTGCAAACTAATTTCAGCGAAATCAATAGTAGTGCGTTTCATCGAGCCGTTGCTAAAACGCTTAATTTTCCCACGGTGTATATTTTAATCAAATCCTTTCCCGCCTCGTCATCATTCGAAGAAATTAATAGCGCGAGTACGACTATAAATTCTCGATGGTAGCTGGCGTGCGCTGGCGCGCAGGTAAATGAGAGTCAGGATGCAGGTAGGACAAGCGTCGTGAAAGCGAAGGTGGTGTAGAATGGTTTCGTTCCGTTGAAATTATGTCCTTCCGTCCGTGCGGAATCTCGCCACCTCGGCATCGGGATAGCTTGGTAGTAGGCGCGATTTAATTAAGATACGAACAATCCGGGACGCGAAGGAGGCCAGCCGGCACGCTCGATGGAAATATCGGAAAATATGAGGATCGTGCCGGCGTCGCCTTCGTCACCACGTCTGCAGTTTTCCAACGGGGCGGATACCGGCATAATAATAACGGACATTCTCGAGATCGCGATGAGAATACCGGGTCGATAATTGAGCGGTAGCCACCACTTATACAAACGCCGCGGAAAAATCTCCGATCGCTATGCGCACGCAAAGATGAGTAATTTTCGGCGGCGATCGATCGCAACTGTGCCGAGTTCTATACTTTTGTGGAAAAAATATTCCGTGGGAGTTTGAATAACGGTGAGATTCGTAGCGTACAGCGAATCTCTGTACACGAAACAGAAAAATAAAAGCATTGACTTTATGATGTTTAAAATATTTTGTTTTTAATACTAAATATTTTATGGTTCGTTGTTTCAGTTGGTGCCATGTACGTGTGCATGCTGTATGCTATACTCTTCCTCAAGTTATGGTCGTACATACAAGTGAACATGTGGTGCCGCTTGAGCACCCGAAAGAAAACTACGCCAGGCAGAATGAGACGTCAGCTGTCTTATAATAATCTCCAATGTGAGTATAAACTGATATATACGTAATTTTTTCACATATACTTTATTGCGATATTAACATCTCGCGTACTTTTTGCGTAATAATAAATGAGCAATATAATTTTTAAAATACAGTACGTTTGCGATGCAATATATAATTTTATTTAAAAAACAAAAGAATAAGGGAGAAAGAAAAAGGATGGAGAAATGCTTCTTTTAGTTTTCTCACTCAATTTATGACTTATTTTACTGTGTACATGCACCGTCCGCACGCGATTCACAATGACTCTATTAAAACCCTATCCGCGTACAGAAATATATCATTTCCGACGTGCGAATGACTATCTTTTATGTAGCGTGTCGTCCGTTGCATTTTTTTTTTACGACAGTGCGTCTCATCGATGCTATTGGAGTCACATACTCAACGGATCTCCCACTCGGTCGGGCGGAAGCCGACCGGCGTAAATCTTCGTCGTTATGAGCGCGGCGTGAATATGCGCTTGCAGGTAATGCACACATCCAAGTAGTGCAAACACGTCCTACAAATCGGTAATCCACAGCACTCGTGGTATTTGCCAGCTCCTGAAGGCGCGCGCACACAGCATCGCGGCGTACCGCATATGCGCGCGATCCGTTTAAACGCGTGTGAGTGTGGGGGCATGTACACGGTGGGGGAGAGGAAATAATTTCCACCCAATTTAAACTGCCGATCGGATGCGCCTATGTTTCCGGTGTCGGACGCACCGTGGTATATCGATTATTCAGATCTGACCGGCAAAGTCAAATTATACGAGCAAACCTTTCCCCAATAAACTCACCGCGCGGAGTATTAATCCTTCCCCTCTACAGCCGCAGCGACATTGAAGCGCCGAGTCGGTTGCATTTGCACTTTTAATTGTGATTGCGCAAACGATCGATCTACACGCCCGATCTGACGGAGTTGATTGGTGCGTATGTCGAATGGATTTCGACCAATAGGCGACAGTTTATACACACAGCGCCGTGTGAAACTTATATCAAATTGTTGTTCCGACGGACATGTTTGATAAATTATCAGAAATAATTAAGTCCTTAAAATAAACATCTTTTTTTTTTACTCAAATAGACTTTTTAATATTAGAATTGTGGAATGTTTGAGTACGAGAAAAGTTTCTGGATGAGCGTGTAAACGCTATTGATTGCAAAATTCCGAACGCAAAATATTTACGGTTCGTCGAAGCGAGAACTCTGTCGTGGACGTGCAATTTCCAACTTTTCTCTAAATTCGTTGCTTGTCAGTTCCGGATTTCTTTACGCTGTATTTCACACCGAAAATTAAGATAGATATTTTGTGGACATTGACGTATTCGCGTTCGACGTTTAGTTCGCACCTAATTAGTTCGTTATCCGCTTGACCGATCCGAAGCGTTGGTCTCTCGCCCGAGAGCGTCCTAATTACCGTGCAAAAAGCGACGTAGTTTGATATAATTATCGAGAGTCCGTACTCGCGTTCACGCGCGACGCCTCGGCGTTCATCGTGACGGCGACCGGTCGATCGATCGATAGACAAATGCAATCGACAAAAGCCCGCCTCGGGACTCCGTTATTACGACCACGAGCTCGTGTAATCTAGCATGCGCGCGGACGCCGTGTAATTTTCGCCCTCTCTAGCCCGGGCTCCTATGGCACGTCGTATTATTACGTTCCGTAATGACGACGTGGAACCAGTCTGTAGTGACTCAACCAGTCGGAGACTGTAACGTAGCCACGTATAGCCCACGCATCGCGAAGGCGGGGCGCTTTTTTTTATTCATCATGACTCGATCGATCATGCGAGAAATGAAGCCCCGCAAAAGCCTCTCTCGGTCTCTCTGAAAAGAAACCGGAATTTCTTTCTTTATTAGCATCCAAATAAGTGTTCCTATTTTATTGTTCAAACGCGCATGTGAATTTTCTCTTAGAATTAATTAATATGTAATTGTTACAATAATGTTTAATGAGTGAGAAAATGTATAAGATAAATTAACGCATTTAGCAGAGATAAATAAAAAAAGAGTCAATGAACGAGTGCTTAATTTAAAGCAGAAATAGATGTCGGTGTCACGGCGCGACAAGGACGCCGAACAATTTACGAGTTTGCCGGATTGCGTGGTCGAAGATCGCAAGCGATCGTATCGATTGGCGAAAGGTTCTCTTCTCCGGTGACATCGGTGCTTAATTTGTGAGACTCCTCGTTTGAACGGTTTGAACGTCCTCATAAGAATGCTGCCTCTTTCACTCCGCGCCACCTCTGCCCGTCGATATCGATCCCTTTTTTCGCCGTTATTCGCCCGCCGCGCCAGTTTCGAGATATATGAATGGGACCGGTCTTAAGCGCGAGGCATCCCTTGGCACAAAGACGAAATTACATCGGCCCTCGAGACGCCCTCGGGCTGAGATTGAAAAAAATAGAAATTACACCCGTCGCGAACGGAAGCCTGCTCGATCCTGTCCGCGTCCCCACGAGATTTCGCCCCTCGACGATTCCCGACCTTTTTCTATCCTCCTGCGATCTTTCGCGAACGTGATAGGAGCCGCTAAGGAGATCTCGTGAACGCAAGTAGGATTTTACGAAAACGCGAGGTTGACCCTCGGTGACGTCATAAATTTCTTCATATTATCTCTGTCTCTTTCCCTCCGCGTTAAGTATCTTTGAGCGTCAAAATTCAATACAAATATTTTATCATGCTCGAAATTGGTATGAGATATTATAGATGCAATAGATTTAGATTTGCGATTGCTTACGAGATAATATAACGCATAATTATTATTGTGCATCGTACATCGATGCTAATGGTATGACATTCTAATACATACAAAGACATTATCTTATGACATGGTTGAATCATCTGTTAACATTGAGATAAGAAATATCACGCTCTGTCAAGAATGTCTACATACGAGATAAATTTGTTCCGCCAGCAAAGAAAAATTTCTTCGAAAGTGATGTCATACCGTCACTGTAATCACTAAATTATAAAAATTACGCTAAGAATGAATCAACCAATCCGAAAATTCGATTAAAACTAAAAAAGAACATAAACTGAGAAAACTTAAGACTTAACTTAATTTTATGCTCTTTGAGTTATTAAATATGATATAAATTTTAATTGTTCAGACGGATGGAAACACGTAACTTTTTATGAAATTATTATTACATAGCGTTACGAGCCAAGCGATAATTAATATAGCTACGATTTATTATTGCGTATCGGTGAAATTTGTAAAAGATGCGGACATTTGTACAATCGATTAACTGGAAATACTCCGAATAAATACAAGCAGCTCGTGCAAACCGAGCTGGAGGGAATGGTTTTTAATTAATAATCCGCCGGCAGAGAGTTTACCGACACGGTAGCCAAAGATCACAGGCTCGATCAAACGAATTTACATAGAATATTAACGAATCATTAAACCGTTTCCGAGTGCTTCCACGCGATCGTGCACTCGCTAACTTCATGTATTTAGCCATTCACAAAATCACGTCGCAATTTTGTTATTGCAGCTAGCGAGTGTGCGCGAATCACGGTATACTTTGTTCAAGACTGTATTTTTCTATCTGTTTGCAATTTCCTGTTAATAATGATGTTATATTGATGATACAAATCACAAAAGTACATTGTGAATTACGAATAATTGCCGATGCGATTACAATTCTCTATCTTGCGCTTTTTATTACTCGAGAAATTGCTGTTTTCCGTAAACAACCGTATAGACGATTGATCTGCATCGCAGCGTCTCGACGATGTCAGTACGGAAATCTCGTTGTCCTGTGTAAGACCTCGAGTGAAAGAAATGAGAGAAAAAAAGGAGCAACGTTTATTTCGCAATTCAGAGGGAGGAAAAAGAGCGGTAAAAAGTAAAAAAGAGACATGAGGAATTTAATTTGGTTGGATTCTTCTACATTTATTACGAGGGTCGTAGAGCGACGCCAAGGGTCGTCTGCCGCCGACGTGGACGTCGATCGGCGTCGCGAGAGCGAGCCGCGAGTAGCGCAATCCCGGCGTCGCGACGCAACCGGGACGTTGTCGAGCAGCAGCGCGGCGCGGCAGCCGGCGCAACCTGAGCTTATTTGAATTCCAGATTGGATTATTCATCGGATTTGGATAATTGAGGGGATTCTATCAGTTACCGGTCCGCTCCGGGGTGGGATTAGACGCGCAGATAGGAATCCGCGCGCCTAGCGCAGCGTCGAGGAATTCCGGGGTTTCCGGCCGAGCGAATCGCGCGAGCATTCGGTTTCGTTGCTTAAGGGACAGCTCGAGGGACTCGAAGGAAGCGATTGTACAAAGGGAAGATATAACTAACTGAAACTTGTGGAAATACTCCTTAGAAGTTCTTGTAATTGTAATTTTGCCATCGGGCAAGTATTTAAAACACTGATGCTGCAAGTATGCAACGCTGCGGAAAGAATTTGATCTTCCCTGCTCGCGTAATATCTCTTATCTTACGCAATTTTCATCTTTCTAATGCCCTCTTCATTTTCGATCGTGGAAATCTCCCTAAGCAACTTTTTTATATCGTTTATTCGTCTTCGTTTTGCCCGATCTTGCATCTATGTCACTTTGCGGCTGCTGCATATTTATTTATGCAAAGCAATCTTCCTGGTTAGAGTTAACAGCACCGAGAGACAGTCCCGAATTAGATTCCCTTCGATCTACGGCGCTGCGGATAGCTTAACTTTCGATTAATCGAATACGGCCGCAATGATAATAAAAAAATACGACCTTCCTGTTACAGCTTCCAACGTTAAATATAACGCAAGTGATACTACCGACGGACTTGAGCGCAAGATAAACGGCGAAAGTGCATTGGTCCAATATCCTGACAATCTGAACTTCTTCGATCTTTATTATTACATATTGGCGCCCACTTTGTGCTACGAGCTGAATTTTCCCAGGACGCAGAGAATCCGGAAAAGGTAAATAAATTCTCGATTTTTACATCTCAGCATTTGCGATTTTCCATTCGCGTGTTTCTCGCAGCAATGATGCACGTTTTTGGGCAATCGTGAATTTCGTTCGGAATCGATAATAGTGATTTCTTTTTAATCATTGCGTAAGAAGACCTCCATAAATCGTCTCTATCGGAACTGACCTATTGCTAGCGATATATCGAAAACTTACCGATCGTTTGGAGAACGATTGGAAAACGGGAGCGTTCCGATTGGATATCTTTCGGAACAGTTACGCGATGGGTCTTCTAGTCTTCTCCATTCGACTTCTTCCCGCGAAGCAATATAGTCTTGTTTCTGTTTACATGTGTTTCGAGAATCCCACCTGGCTCGCTTCGAACGAGAAGCGAGTCAAGTGGAAACTTGATATTGTCTGACTTCGGTCACGCGAGCGTATACATTGCGTGAGGCGTATAAATCCGTGTTTGCTCTCAGATTTCTCGTATAGATTTCGCTCTGGTGTACCTCCGCAATACTCCTTTACGTCTTATTTTCTTTTCGTAAAGAATGTCAACAGATGCCAAACTCGTCGGTTTCGGAAATTCGGATTCTAGTAAATTCTGTGTTTGTGGACGAAAATTTTCAGACAAGAATTCTTACTTTGCCTGATTTTATCGGGGACATGAATTATTCGCGCGAGTCGCAATTGAAGCCCCTATAAAATTCTATTTTAGAATTCTATTATCTCCACCATTTTGATAAATTTGATTTGAGTTTATTTTAATGTGCCATTTATAGATAATAAATCAAAATTAAGAACATATTTAAGAAATATTTTCTGAAGTGCTGAAAAGGTTTTTACTAATTGATTTTGCACATTGATAAAGATATTATTGGACAATTTAAAAATATTTAAGAAATATATTTAAGAAGAAAAATATTGTAGAATTTTATTATTAAATATTGCTACAAAATTAATTCTTAAATTCTATCCGCTTAATATGAATTACACACATTCCAATATTGTCTGGAAAGATTATATAATACATAATATTTGAATCACACAGATTCAATAAATCGGTAAAACTCTGATCGTCGGCACAAACTTAAAAGTGTCTTTTTCCAAGTTCGTTCTTCCGATTGTATCGCCGCCCTTACCGGTTTTCATAGTGCGCTTTCCTCTTTTGTGCGCCAGTACGCCTTCCATGCAGTCGTGTTCGTCGAAAAGTGCATCCAGACTGTTCGGCTTTACTTGTCGCCGGCAGTTTGCCGGAAACGAAACTCGCGTAGACGACGTACCGTCGAATGGGAACGTCGTTTCACGCGACAGTACTCAAAAGTCGTATTTTCGAATTTTCGAGAACCGGTTTATAGTTGGGTGGGTGGATGGAAGGGTAACGAGGACGGAGGGCAGATTCATGGGGGTTGACCGGAAATCGGTTTGTGCCGCTGATAAAATCTGAGAGCAAATAGATGTGCGCCAGTATCGCGTAATGATCAATGTAATAGAATCGCGTGGAAACGAATCAAGTCGGACGGCCGATAAATCCGATAAAATGTACATTTGCGCATCCATTATAATGACAAGAATATACATATGTAGATCCAAATGTCAAAAAGCACGAACAAAAATATTATTTTTTTTTTTAGCGATACATATTCCATTGTTAAAATGTATAACGTTCGAAATTATATATGCAAAAATTTGGACAGGATTAACGTTAAGTAAAATTGTTGAAAATTTTATTAATTTTTTAATTTACATATAAAGTCATGTTTCTCGCTTAAAATCTGTTTTTTTTTTTCAAATTAAGTTAGAATTATTTATAAATATTCCAGTATCGTGTAATTTATAGGTTCCTCATAAAACGGATATTGGAAGTCCTCGTAGGATGCCAAGTGGTGTTGTCGCTTTTTCAACAATGGATGATACCATCCGTGAAAAATTCATTAATTCCCTTCAGTGTGAGTATTTTATACATCATTTATTATTATTTTAATAATTTAGAAAATGGAACCTCTCCCAAATCCACACATAAAGAATACATTTTGTAGTTACAGTTAAAATTCGGTCGATAAATCAATTTTGTCCAAAGAACCATACACCCTTACGCCTTTCTTCTCGAACAATGAGTAATGATTCATCGATGTCTCGGATTATATCTCATGTTTTATTACAAGAGCTAATTATTTATCGTCCCGGTCATAAATAAGTCAGGCTAACCGCGAGAGCGAAACAGCTGGTAAGATAGGGGGCCCGACGACGAGTAGAAGTGTAATTTGGTTTCGGCAAATAGGTACGATCAATCTTTCGAGTAATGTTCCTGCCCGGAAATTCGATACACACAAATATACACGACAAATTCTACGCTGCCCCGAACAAGCATCCCCACGGTACCGAAATCCCCCGCGATAAAATACGCAGGAAAAAGGGAGTTGTCGCATGCGCCACGGTTGCAGTAATATTGTTGCAAGTTACACCTGTAGGCAATATATCCGTCCGCGATATAGCGTTGCATAATATCGCGAGAACGATGTAAATTGCATTTCTTAAAATGCTAAACAGATGCGAAGGGAAGAAAACTGAGAATTTCAGCGCGACATGTACAAAGTATATTTTTTATCGCTTATACTCCGCCCGAAAGTGGCGCTGTTATATTTCACGATGTTAATAACTTTATCGCGAAAACTCGCGGTGTCTCCATCCGTCGCGACAGCAAAACATTTACAGCAAAAACGGTATACATCCAATTTATTTTTGCGGCGGTGCAGTGGCGGTTCTTGATAAAAATAAGCGAAAGGTGAGGTGAAACGAAGAACGCGTCAGCGGCACGTTTTTCTCGTTCGCGTCGCAATAATGCTCGAGGCACGCCATCAGTTTTTATCTCGCGCGAAGTTAAATCCTCCGCCTTGATTTGCCAGTTATATTTGGTACCGCGGGAGAATGACGCGGACGATATTTTCACTGCGAATATCCCACGCGTCCGCTCGCAGCCGGACGATGTCCCGTCTGGAGCGATGTAAAAAAAAAATACGTTCGCAAAATCTAAAATTGTCACCGGTCATTTATTGCCGACGCTAGTTTTGTCACATTTCAACTACAGTCTAATTTCATTCTCGCATCTCGGATTATGTCTCAATTGTTCGCAGTCCGCACGGCGGTGGACGTGACAGTTTGCTTGCCTGTAATAATTATTTTCTCAATAAGGGCAGAAAATAACCAATGAAGGCTCTTTTTCATATTCTTCTTATATTTCATAATGAATTACGACACGATGAAAATATGTGACAGGTCGTATCATATTGAACATAAAACTTTCTCTCTCTGGTATGATTTTTATTGCATTTTTCTATGAAGACAGATAATGACACTCTGACATATTTTAAATTAATTAAAAAAAGATCCAAAGGCACGGAGAGAGCTAGTTAATTAGCCAATTATCAATAGTCGTCAATGGGGTGTAATAAACGAATCCCTTAATTAAATAAGCCGCATTGATGGTGGGACGAGAACGGGAGGAGGAGGGTAATTTGAAACGTTAATTAGAGGCGTACGAAGCGCGTAATTTAATATTTATGTATACTTTTTAGTCTCACGGCATACGCTCGTTCGGGGTCGCGTACCTTTGATCGCGCGGAGTGTGTCGATTCGCGTCACGACGAAAATTTTCCATGAGAGGGCCGTGGATTTAAATGGGGCCTTTTACGTGGTCGGGCTTAACCGCAACTGATCCGCGGCGGGCGTCCGCGGTTCACCAGCTACGCCCATATTTCGTACGTAATGCTATCGAAAATCCGAATCCCGCCATCGATCCCCTAGAGCTACTGATAATTCAGCCATTCATAGCCATGCCAAGTGCAGTGGGTTTCGGTAAATTTGCGAAAAAATCCTTTGCCATAGATACGGTCTATCTGAAACGCGATCGATGATTAACGTGTACCTTTTGCCGAGAATTGACTCGTGTAATGTAGAAATTGGGGACTCAAATGAAGATATAATTAATTTTTGATTAAATTTGATCAATCCAGAGCGCTTTCTGATTTGCATTTCTCATTTATGTAAATACAACAAAACAAGTTGGCAAAATGCGAATCATAAGTGTGGCGTTTACAGCGCATTTAGACCGGAAATTTCAATTTCAGCATTCAGCATGATTAAAAATTAATTATAGCACTTTGCGCGTGTATCCCGTATGATTGAAATAATTAGAATGAAACAGATATGTCGGTATATATGTATTAAAGTTAATGATGCTTCCATTTATTAACAATAAGTTCGTACATAATAATTAACAGTACTACTTTTTCCTTTTTTTTTTTTTTTAATAAAATTCATATCATGATCGGAAAGCACTCTCTTCGAAACATTCATCATCGTTTGGTCTGCGCATTATTCACAATCGGATGCATTGTTGCGGAACTTTGCGAGGGTGGCTGCTCCTTTCTACAACGGTGGTTAGTTGGAACCTCCGCATTCGCGATTAGACAGTCCGACGGCAGTGTTTCCTGCCGTCGCGTTCGGGACTATCCCGCGCCGGATTATTAAGCGTTTCCATCGCCTCGAATCAAGATCGACGCAAGCCACTCAGCGTGGAGCTTTCGGCCCCGGCCGCATGATTTCGCGCCGCGGACAAATTGCTTCGGCAAATCGTTTCACGCCCCCACCCGCATCCGCGTCTTTCCTCGTTCTCCCTCCCATTCCCCCCGAAGAGACTCGAAGGGAACGACGACTCGGACGGAACGCACGCTGGAAATACGAGCGGCGATGCCGGCGTCCCTCTCCTCCTCGTCCCCCGCGATAGAGGCCCTCGAAATCGTGATATCGACCGAACGCAAAGTAATTGCTACTGCTACTAGTTGCAGGGGAGTTAATGCCGGAGACGGCAAACCATCCCCTTTCCACCCCTTCCCCACCTCTCCCGATCGGCTTTCGTGCTCGTTTTCGCGCGCTATTCTTTCTCCGCTCGGCGACAAATTGGATCTGATAATTGCGAGTCGCGATTACGACAGTCACGTCCTCGATCGAGCGTCCAGCTGACGCTGAGAGACGACGTCGGACTTCCCTCGATTTAGCTCGACGTGGTCTATCACTGTCGCCCGGCGCGGATGTCACGGGTGCGGGGCGGAGGGCGCGCGGCAAAGTGCGGAAGGAGATCGTGAGATTAAGAAATCCACGAGGATATTGCTTCCGCCAGAACGCGAGTCGCGAGGGGGAAATTGATAACTGCGGATGATGCTTGTCGGAGGGTAATCACTTTTTACCCCGGCGTGCTCCGCGCTGCGCCTCGTTATTCTTACAGGGCGGAATGAATGGATAAGAAGGCCGGCACGGGCCGCGACCGGAAATTCTCGCGATTTCCTCTGGCAAGTGGGCGATTAACCCTTCCAACGCTGAGAAATCCGTTATATTGCGCCTCACTCAGTAGCAGACCGTGTCTGAAAAATTTTTCACCTGCAACACGTGCGAATAACTTGCGCGCGCTTGAATCTCGCGAAAAATGTAATGATTCATCTCTTATTTACTTTTACTTATTATTTCGTTTCTGCATTATCCTGCACTTTCCGTTGCTCTTTCGGTCTTCTGTGTCGACAGTCTGTAAACTATATTCAATATCGCGATCTGCATCTTGCAACTTGACAACGCTAAGTGTACTATGAATGATTCTTATGTCACGAGAATGCAAAAATATAACTATCGGCCTCTCTGTGACTTGCGGAATAACGCTGCATTTCGCCTCGTAGATCGATCGAGCGATCGAAGAGTGGCAAAGTGGATGCATTGAGTTTATCGGCTCACGGCACGCTACAGCTTAAAGGGATGAGCGTTTAAAGGATTTTCGGGGGTGCGTCGAAGATGGTTACTGCCTCGAGAAGCATGCAGCTTTATGACGGGGCTATCGACGGAACATGCGAAATATCGTATCGATTTTCTAACATGCGCTGTAGTGCCATGTACACTCGCATGTATAATCATTGTTTAATAATATATTATCTCATATAAAAGGTTTTATAAAAATAGAAGGGGAAAGAGAGATTTTTTCGAGGAAAATGGAAAGAGTATTTATTCGAAAATTTAATTAAAGAGATATTCAAACAAATCGTTTATTTTAAAGAAAAAAAATCTTATTTGCGCGCAAATTTAACGTTCCTTTATCTCTTCCTATTTTTCTCGCGTGTTGAATCTCGCCAAGGTGCGCGGATCAAGGAGAATCGGGAAAAGCTGCGCGGCATGCACGGCGTTCGCCCGTTGCTCGTTTTTCCTCCCGTCGGCAAGATTCCAGACACTTGACCAACGTTGTCGAGACGGAATTTGCCGGAAGCCGATCGCACCTCCTTGTATCGTAGTCACAGATATGCGTTCGCCGACCGGGCAGCGCTTCCGCGCCGAGTTATGACGCTGCAAAAATTCTTCCGATCCTCCCTGATAAGCGAGCAAAAAGAGAGCGGCGGCGGCTAACAAGTGAAATCGTTGGTGGGGCTGCATGTGATTCGAGAGTCACCGGAAATCGGACTTTCAAAGTGGATTTTTTCCGGCGAGATTTTTTTTACAAAGTTTAAAGAGGAGGTACTCTTGTGTAAGCGCATTTCGTTCTCCATCCCTCTTCGTCGATATTTTAATATGTTAAATTTTATAATTTTTTATACTTCTTTGTTATACTTTTTTGTGATATTTTTTGTTTTTTTTACTTAAAATTTGTATCTACAAAGAAACTTTTGAATTTTGACGTTATAATCTATTTCTGAGTAGCTATATACATTGTCGACTCGAGACTTCGCTGTTGTTCCGAAGTAGTTTGGAAATCCGCTCGCTGGACGTTATTACAACGCTTAACGTTTAACGATGAACGGCGGAACGTGCTCGCTAAAAGACTGAAACGCGAGGCGAAGTTTTATTGGCAGCGTATGTTTGTCAGGGTAAAGAATCTCGGACTTGGGTATTTCTCCGACTTTTAACTGACGGCGAGAAGAGCGGCCGCGAATTGTGCTCCTAACATACTACGGAAACATTTCAATCTTATGGCGTTCGTGATCAAAAGGCGTGCAACCGAGATCAAATCTTTGCAAGGAGAAGATTCGATTATCAGTCTTTCGCGAGAATCGTCGCAGCTCCGATGAACGAGTTATCATTCCATTTTTTCCCTTCCCTGTTTGTCGCGCGTGTGTCAGAGAGAGAGAGAGAGAGAGAACACAGCCAGTATTTATTCGACCGCTAACTGGTACCAGGAGACGTCGGTGAGCGAAGAATGGCGAGTATAGTCGTCCGCGGAACCCCCTTTTTGCCGGCGCTTCGGCACGAAACACTTAAGACCACGTCGAGTGCCTTTTAATCCTATTTGTCTTCCGCTGCGCTCCAGTAGCGTAGTCTGAAAGTGCGACTCTGGAAGTTGTCAGATCGAAGTAAATATTTTGGTTGCCACCAGAAAGGGAGTTGAGTTGAATTCTAGGGGTAACTCTAGACGTTAATTCGCCGAAAAACAGGCTTCTCGCGTAATGGAGACAGGAGAACTCGTCGAAAACTTGCTTGACAACGTGAAAAGCGTCAATTTAAGCTATTTTTCGCTTTGGAATCACATATTTTTTGCTAAAGTCAGTTGGACAAAGAAGCTTTATTTTCGAGAAAAACAAATATTAATATCTAAATTACTAATTATTTGATATCGTGTATGAAGATGTATCTCACATTTATTGCGATTAATTTAATTCTTAATTTAATTAGAATATTTTCTATCGGCGGATCGAATCGCACCTGCCTTCATTCGTAAAATTTCTCTTATGGTGCCATCGTACATGCGTGGGCGGGGATGAAGGGATGGCGACGAAAGGGCGCGACGTCGTACACTTAAGGACTCCTCGTTCGCCGCGCCATTGTCGGCCGGCCGGGATCCAATTCGACTGGAGCGAATTCTCGGTATCTCGAGGACTCTTTCCGGTGGCACGACACGGTGTTCGTGGATGCAAAGCCGTAAATCTCTCGGCGCTAATTGAAACGACGGCGGACGAAGGAAACGACCGGCGACGATCCCCTCAACGGCGCGACGACGAGGAAGCCTTTCCTCGCCTCTACCCTCTATTTCCTCTCGTTTATCTCGTCGTTTTTCTCGTCTCCTCTCGCATTCGGGATTCCGCAACATGTATATTCGTCAAAGTGCCACGAGCAGCGCCCGCTTTCACGCCGCCGCGAAAAGGGGGTGACAACGCTCCTCCGTTTCGCCGCCGAATAAGGACGACGGGAGGGAAGTCGCGAGATGGAGAAGTTTCTAAAGCGCATCAGTACATTGTAGTTTTGCAACTTTCATGCATATCGGCATATTTCCCCGTGCCAATATTTAATATGCGCCTGACGCCTTAAGCTGCTAAGCCGACATCTAAAGAACTTGTTATTATGTTATTAGCCATGTGCTGCGATCACGTATTCAGTTATCATCTGTAAATCTGTAGAAAAGTGCAGCTTTTTGAAAGCGTGACACATATGAGATTTATAATACGCATTGCAATTCATTTTCGCGGATCTTTGAGTCCCTCAGTCAGTCGATCAGTCATCTTCCGCGAGCGGAACAAGATCGATGGAAGGGAAAGAAGAGGAAGAAATTCTGCTCGGGGTTTGGCCATCTACGTGAGATGTTTTGGACGCGACTCTTCGGAGAAAAATTCAACCCGCCTTTATTTTCAATCCTTCGAACGCCCTCCACTTTCCTCTTCTATCGTTCGCGTTTCGAGTGCAGCTATTCATTTGCAGGAGGCTCTCTCTTCTCTCGCAGCTCCAAGCGAAATGCAATCGTTGGGGGCGCCGTGATTTTATGGGAATACAAATTCAACCCAGTTTTTCCTTCCGAAGCAATTAGATAAGTGACTAGTAATGTCGATAAATCGCGCTAAATCGACGATAAATTGTGTCGTTACATTTTTTACGAACAGAACACTTTTCTTGCTCTTGCCGCGTCTTGCCGAATCTTTTCCGCCGCTGCATTTTTTAAAGAGCACTTTTTAATCGTTCAATTACACGGAGGAAAGCTGCGTTTTATGGCAGATGCACGACGCAAACCGTGCGCACCACTTGTTCTGGGTCGTAATTATCAGGCCGCGTAACGTATCGTCTCTCATTAAACCGAGCTGTAAAGTTGACGCTAAGAAAACATGAAATTCTCGTTGGGACAACTTGTTGCTGTCGTAAAAAAATCATTTCTCCCCGGACGTAACCGTTTGTTTACGATACAGTCTTTAAACTTTAATGCCACTTACATGAATCGCGCCCTTTTAAACTGGTAATTCGCTGTAATTAGTTTCGAGGCATTTGCGTGTAACAGTGTAAACGCAACAATCGGATGTCTCACCGTTGGGAGGTGTACAATCGGACACAATACGCGACGCATCAATCGTTTCACACATTACATATCGACTCGCGAATCATCATGTAATGACATCATTCTCTATTTCGCCTTTGTCGTTTTTCTATTTACGTTGTAAATAGAACTTATTGCAGTGGCGATATCAATGCGAATGATTTAATTAACATTATAATATTACCGCGGCATGTGTATCGCAGAATATTAACCGTAATAATGGCAATATGTCACGATATAATTGCAATTAGCGATTTTCAGTTGTGTGTGCTTCATTATTAAATTCACTATTTGTCGTGAAATGAGAAAATAAAATGTGTCCGCTCGATTTTTTAATTTAGACATTATTTCTGAACATTGTATATTAATCACGACAGAAACGGGAATGCCGTGAAATGTGTCAGTGGAAATATTTTAATTATTTATTAAAGCATTCGTCAAAAATTAAACGGCTTATTTAAATTTAAGTGCGTTGAAAAGAGATTTCACGTTAAATTATATTAAAATACAGAACTTGTTAAGTGGGTTATTTGGAAGCTCGTAAAAATTTTCCTTTGTATTCCATGAAGAGATATTCCACTCGTTTAAGAGGGAAAGCGACTATTGGCGCGTGCATACACGCAGTAATGACGTGTTGAAGTCGTGGGGAAGCTCTAAGGGTATTTATTTGCAAGCCTGGTATACAAGCACGGCTGGCTGTTGTAGCATTCGAAGGGACCTCTCGACAACCGCCACTTAAGCGGAACGCCGGAGGGACGGCTTCCTTCCCTCGTGTTCAATTAGCGCCGCGCACGAAATATCAATTCCATCGGTGGAAAGCTTCTCGTTCCACATACATCGAGTGCAAATCTGTATCGGAGAAAGGAAGCTCTCGGGCGTTTTCGCCCGATGGCGGAGCTACTATTAAATCAGGTTAAAAGTTCGCGCTGTTTAATTTAATAATAATAAACGTCTTAAATGCGTTAACGGATGTCTGGACTTCCGTATTAAACTTCGCTGATTAATACAATTATCCAATTGGATCCGAATATTAAATTTAATTGTCCTTTCGTTTCAGGAAAATACTTATATATATTTTATTGCAGTTCGAATATCAATGATACGGTTAAATAAATGATATATGTATCCGGATATTGAAAGCTAATAAATAGATCTAAAAAATTACTCATTAATAATTTAAAACGCTTCAAAGATAATATTTAGATAATATGCAAAATATCATAATACAGTGGAGAGAAGGCAACGTTCAATTTTTGTATTGACGATTAAATAATTCACAATGTTCGAATTATATGCGAGCTCGCACATTGTGGATGGCAAATGTGGAAATTTAAATGCCACGTATTTTAGACGACGAATAATATTTGAAACTTTTTTCGTACACACTCCATCATACATTAGAATACACTTCTCATAACATTAGAAGTGTAGTAAGAAAACTGCGCTACATGAAACGTTAATCCAATTTTGACAGGGCGCTTACACAAAAATAAATCTTTCATTGCGACTCGTGATTACGATCATTTTTTACGCATTCCGAATAATTTGCATGCGTCGTAATAATTCAGCCTCGGCGATCTTACGGTTTATCGTATTCACGATCTCAAATCCAATTAGAAAGTTACATTTTGTAGTTGCTAACGTGTTTCACCCTCTTGCACCCACCCCCACCTTAAACTTGCATTTGTTTTGTGTTCAGCTTTAGGGCATATCTGCCTCATTCCTGCCCCTCCCCTCCCCCTCTTTCTCTTAACACACCTTCCGCACGTTTCCCACGTATTTACCTTCTACATTAATAATCTCGTGCCTCTCTCGTTTGCGTTGCAGAATATGGACGTAGCCAAGGCCTCCGAGCGTCTTCTCAAGCTAGCGGTGAGTATACGTATATACATATACATATATATTCGTGCAAATACGTATATGCGTGTAAAATTGATAAGCGCGTACTGGGCGTATCCGAAATATATTATAAGTTGATAATTTCCAAAGTCGCGAAGCAAACAAGCGTCCCACGACTCGAAGGTATTAATTATTTCTCGATTAATGTAAAGCTGCTGCAAAAATAATTTTAACATACGCGTTGTTGCAAAAACAAAGAATGTGAACATGATGATGCGGAGAGCCTTATTTTTAGAGCGAAATCTTTCTCAGCGATAACGTAAAGTTCATCGTCGGATTGATGCTGTTCGCACGACCATGTCTTATTTGCAAAGCAGCATAGATACTTTCAATTTCCCGTGCTAGATTCCCTCTCTTTTTCTCCAGCACGCCTCTTACGAGAAAATCCTCGAGGCAATATTTGCGAATTCAATCTCTTCTCTCCCGCAACAGAACGTACTTTCTGTCTGAACTTTGCCACGACTGCGAGCTCGTTCGACAGAACGCGCGACAGAGAAAACTTGTATCGAACTACGTGTCGTCGATAAATGCCGCGCTTAATATAACACGTTGTAAATCCGTTCGGTGCACAAGTCTGCAAGCTGGCGCCAATCTCGTGCGAACATTCAGTAAGAACATAATCTCGGATGTCTAAGATAGAATTTTCGGATAATTTGAATAACGTAGAATATTTAGTATGCTTAATGAAGATTATCGAACGCAATTTAACTATAATATAATATTACGGGGAAATTGCAAGTTTCGCTTCCTCAATTTGTTCAATTGCTCGTTTCCTGCATATACGACTTTCTTATCTGAAAAAATAGAACGTAAAAGAGTTAACTTCAATGTTCTCGGTTAGAGCTCTTTACGATAAGTTGGATCTGTTGCACGTCGGAAAAATAAAGTGAGCTATCCACGGGAACGTGAAATAGGAATGTTGTGTTTCTTCAAGGAAGAGTCTCTAGAAAGGGTACGGAGGGGACCCTACAAAAGCTTCGGGCTCTCTTCTCTCTTTCGCAGAAAGTACGCCGGAATCTATGAATTCCTGATTTAAGTTTCGTCGTGCGTCGGCCGTATTCCCGCGACACATACGAATAAAATATGCACACTCGACGATGGAAAAAGGTCGTTTGTCGCCGAGTCCGCAGGGAGATCGATGCGCGACGATACGCTGAAGATGTTGTTTTGATACTTCCGATCCGTATGTTTTTTCTTCAGCTATAAAAGCAAATGTTAGAAAGTGAATATCGAAATAGTAAGAGTGTCTAAGGGAACAACATTTTTTTTCTGTAACCAGAAAGCCTCTTTGGAGGTTTTTTAATTTTAACGATAGCTTCTTTGCCAAATCAATCTGTGTCCTCAATCATTTTAATTGTCACAATATTGATAGAGTCCTTGAAAAGAATTTCTATATTGGAAATAGGTCCTAAAATTGGCTTGACATTATAAAAAATGATTTTCTTTTGATCTATTAAAAAAAAATCTTTATTCGTCGTATTTGAAATTGCGGTATCCGCAGTTGAGAGAACGTGCGATTGTTTTAGAACATCCTGCGCATCGCAGAATATACGCAATTGAAAAAAAAGGGAAAAAAAGGAAAAGCGAAAAAATGAACCGATATGCGCGATGCAAAGGCTCGTCCATGCGAACGCTATAGCGCTCATCGTGTCTTTTTATTCGCGTTCTTCTTTGCATCGCGCGCCGACACGCTCTGCTACTCTTCGACGTTCAGGCCGGTCCGCGTCGAACGATTCCGCGTCCGTTCGTTCACGTTGCTCGTTATTCTCTCGTTAGCTCGGATGCTTCGGATCGGAACTACCCGGCCGTAGTGTTTCGAGTACTGGGCGAAGTCCAGTGAACCGAATTCAATTATATGAATTCGTCCCAAAGCGACTGTCCTCGGGAGCGTGTATAACAGCGCGCGGCGGGCTTCCCTGTCGCGCCGGCCATTCGGTAGACGTCGATTATTCACGATTAAAACAGCAGACCGATGGATGTGCATGACCGAGTTTTGTTATGGAACTTTCGCTCACTCTCCACGTTAATTGGGCCGGCTGTGCTATTAATTATCGGCGCGCTCGTCGACTCGCGTCGCCGACTTTTTCCGTCGCGGCGCTTCAACGTTCGGCTTCGATAATTGCGATGTGAAGTAAATGTAAGCTTATATGCACGTATGTATGTGCAATCCGGTTGTGTTTGTCGATTAGCTCGTTTCATCTGGTTCAGTCCACGATAAAAAATAAGTTGATAAAATTAGATATTAGATCAAACACGATTCCAGACGAAGTTTAATTGCGAATCGAAATAAAGTTTCTGCTCGAAAGAGAATTTCTTTTAAGTTCGCTGTTGGACGAAAATACAGTCTCGTGGGTAATAAAAGTATCGGTCGTTGAAATAAAAAAGAAGAAACGTCCGACGCGTTCTTTAATAACACACGAAGGACGGAACACCAAACCCCGGGGCAAAATAAATTCCGCCGTGCAGAGGCGCGCGCCCCAAGGTGAGTCGGAGCGCGTGTCTGGAAGGGAGATTTCTTTCCAATAAAGCGGGGCAAAAGGGTTGCTCATTCGCGGCGACCGTGACATTTTGTTTGCCCTTACGCGCGCGGAGGAAAAATAATTGTTTGTCGATCGTCGGACCGAGTCCGCTCCTCGATCTTTCGCGCGCTCTTACTTTTCGTTTACACCGCAAATAGCCGCGAGGGACCGTAGACCCCGAGACCCCGCGTGACCGTCGAGGGTTAATTGCGTTTCTTATGTACGAAGTCGGTCCAAGGGTGGCGCCGAAGAAACAGGGCGGAACTGCAATGCGGGGACGGGACTTTAATCTCGTCGTAATGGGGAAACGCAATTTTCCCGCAGTCCGCTTCGCCAACGAGATCCAGCTTTCTCTCTCGCTCTCTCTCTCTCTC